TATTAAACTAGCCTTGAGCACAATACTGAGCAATTATCACTCTAACCTATACATCCAAGGTGGGATAGCTTCCTCCCAGCCAATACCCCCATAATACTTACATATTTTTGTTCTTTTTCTGCTCCAGTTCTTTTCTCCTGATGCTCCTGAACCTCGCTTAGTGCCTCAATCTTTCATTTCCTCTCTCCTTCTTGTCCTGTCACTGGAATCAGATGGATTGCAAGGATGGAATTCTCTGTATTGCTCAGTACTGGCTGGTCAGCGTTTATTGGCAAGGAAGATAGTGAATGAGGAGTAATGTTTATACAAACCTGATAGAGGAGATTCACGTGTGGATTGAAACCAGATAGTGCGATAGAGAAATCGGCATTTGAATAGTACAAGGGTAAACTACACACAGTGCATAATAACATTATGCCAACAGGAGAGCAAGTAAGCAGACCTCAAACTATGACCACTGCAATGTACACCGCAAAAATGGCATGTCTACTAGGAACCTTCCTTGATGCAGCCTCAGGTAGGCCTTTGATATGCCACTGCTGAGTCTAGAGCACTTATTATCTTTGCAGTAAGTTGCAGGATCACCCCAACTCCTAAAGGATCCCAGATTCCACTCTTACAGTCCTTCTCTACAAGTTAGATTGTAGCCTCAAATAACTTGAGGATCCCTTTTGGGTCAAAGTAAGTCTCTGGTTGATTTCCCTTTACTTCCCAGTTTGGATTGTAGGCTTGCATTGTTTTTCCTAGACCTTATTCCTAGAAACTGGGTCTTCTCCACAAACCTCATTTCTAGGATTCATAGCCCTACAGCATCAGAGCCAACTTCAATGGAGTATGAGACTGCAGGATTCCTGGAGCTGTGTGATTGCCAACTTCACTGGGAATATGGCCTTCTCACTGGCAGTACTCTGGTGCTAATCACCTATCTAGATTTAGCCTGAGGCTGCAGGCAGGCCTTGCTCAGGTGGGAAGCCTGACCTTCATAGCAAAAGCTGTTAGGCAGAGCTGTTATGTATTAAGTGGACACATAGCTATGTGTGTTTTCAGCCATCAACACAATTCCTGTCTTGCTTCCTGATTCTGTCAACACACCATTTCCCCCAAGACATTCTGCAATAAGTTACTAGCGTTTTTAGTTTTTTTTTTTTTTTTAACAATGTTGTGTTCAGTCTTCCTTTGGTTGACTTCTAAATACGTTTCAATCCACTCTTCCAATTTCCTTCATTACATACATACAAATGACACTGATGTATACTTCACATATGATAAAGTTCCTAGCTTAAAGCACACTATTACCCCACCCCGTTATTGTCGACAAAAGTGTACAGTAATTGCAGAATGACCTTAAGTCATCATTGGATTGGTGGCTACAGCACCGTGTGTGGGTGTGGCACATGTCTGTGCAGGTGGATATGCTCATGCACATGTATTTGTATGGAGGTCAAAGGTTAGCATCTGAGCCTTCCTCAGTCACTCTCCATCTTACTTTTAGAGACAAGGCCTGCCGTTGAACCTGGGTCTTATTGGTGCAGCTTAGACTGGGTAACCAGTAAACTCCATGGCTCCTTTTTTCTGGCCTTTCCCCTTGGTGCTGGGATTACAAATACTTACCACCACATTCGATTTCTTACGGCTTTAGAGATCAGAATTTGGGTCTTCATGCTTATAGGGTAAGCACAGTATTATTAGCCAGCCCTCCCCCATCTCCCTAACATGCTTGTGAAGCTGCTCATATTTATTTTTGATAATATTAATAATTATTACACCATGCTATCTACCTAATGCTTCATTTAGTTCAATCTGTTGAAAATATTTTTATTGTAGTATTGGAAATTAAATTGGATAAAACAATAAACCACCTTTTAGCCAAGTGTGGTGGTACATGCCTGTAATCCCAAGCCTCAGAGACAGAGAGAGAGAGAGAGAGAGAGAGAGAGAGAGGATTGTGAAATGGAGGCCTGTGTGAGACACACTCTAATACTATTCAGAACAAACTCCAAACCAAATCAAACCAAACCAAACCCAGCACCCTCAATTTCTTATTTCTTGTTTTAACGGTTAATGATCTTATGTAATGCACTTCAACAAACCAATACCAACTCTAAGGTAAGGGCATATATGTATTTCTGCATGCATTTGTATGTGTGCATGCATATGTGAGTGTATGTGTGAGTGTTCATGTGTGTTGTACATAAAGGTCAGAGGTCAACATCAGGTATCTTCTTCAATTGAGATAGGGTGTTGTGATGAATAGAGCCTTTTAATTTTTGTGGCCAAATACCTCAAGGGTTCTCTTGTCTTTGTCTTCCCAGAGTTAGGTTTACAGGTGCACACTGCTCTGCCTGGCATTTTATTTTACTCACGAGTTGTGGGGAGTCAAATTCAGATCCTCATGCTTGAATGGTAAGCACTTTTACCAAATAAGCCATCTCCCCAGGCCTCCAGATAGGAGACGTTCTCAGAGGAGGATTCTTTGCATCTTCCACCTTTTCATGTAATGATTTTTAGACCTTTAAATTAACTGAAAGATAATTGATATATCTATAGCACAGCCCCTTCCCTTAAGGCCCAGGAAATATTTTGTATTTGAGATGTATGATTTTCATTAATTGAATTAGATTTTTAACCTTTTTATCTAGTTTATCTGTCATAGCATCAAACAAATAACACAGAAGACAAACTAAAACACACCTTTTCCCTAAAATTATTAAAAAAAAATATACAGAGAAACAAAGCCATCATCTTGGTACAGCCAATCAATGAAACACAGACTGTTGTGAAATTTTATTCAAAAGTTTTTTTTTTTGTTTTTTTTTTTTTTTGTTTTGTTTTGTTTTGTTTTTGAGGGGAAGGTTAAAAACGATTGATTTGACATAGCAGTGATTAATGGCTTTGAAAGAGACCAGGTTTGTTGGATCAACAGTCAAATACACACTTATTCACTACTTTATAACTAGCCACTGTTTCTGAATTCTTTTGGCTAAAAGTATATGCAGAGAGCTGGATGCACAACTGCCAGGATTTTCTAGGTGGAATGCGGAAGGTGTCCATAATGTGCTCTCCTGCATTCTTTGCACATCCAGCTAAGCTGGGGACGTTTTGCTTGTTGTAGAATAGAGTAATAATACCTGCGTAAGAAATGCTCTTAGGAAAATTGGTGATTGTACAGATCTTAGGAGAGCATAAATACTACAACACTTTGTAACTGAATCTGCCGCTCATTCAATTAGGCATTCTGAAAGGAGAACATTCTAGTTATTGTACAACTATCAGAAACGTTTTGTTCGTCTGTCGGCTATTGAAATAAGGCATAATGCGCACAAGTGCTTGTGCAATTCTTTCTATGGTGCAGCTATGATGCTCCAGCGCCGAATTATGATGCTATCTCTGTGGCATAAGAAGACAGTATGTCTGCAAGGACATGATTCGTCTGCTACAGAAGTCTAGGGCACTGCGATAGTTCTCTAGCTTTTGAGGTCAGCTTTCTCCAGCTGTATGTGCTGATATCACAGAATATGCTATTTTCTCTGTCACTAGATGGCTTAGCCACTCATCTAAATTCAGAAAGAGAAAGAGAAAAAAGAAGCACTGACTCCTTTGTTCTTAAGAGGATATTCTAAGTTGCCCATTACCTTCTCACATGGTCCAGGTAGCATTTAAGTTCATGTCCAGAGCTGGTGGCATGAGGCATAGGCCAGTGAGGTGTTTTCCTTGGTGGACAATATGTTCATCTAAAAACATGCCCGAGTGTTCCATGAGGTGGAAGAGAACTCTTATGGATCACTAGCAATGTGTCATGCATATAGGCAGCCTGAAGGGAAAGTGCTGTTTCCATTTCTTAGGCAATGCCATATTAGATACGCTTCAACAGGATTTCATCTATTTAACGTTTCACGCCATGTTTGATATACTCAGACTGTTAATGGTTCACAGGCTTCAGATGTGCCTTCTTGGGAGACATCACGCTACACTGCATTTTTGAAGGAACAATTCACTTCGACCGTTTCTTTTCTCTGTTTCCACAGAGCCTTCCTTGCCTGTATGATCCAGAAGTGGGAGCAATGGTTCTCTGCTGCAGTTGATTCTAGTTAGAACTACTAAGCTTAAAATGGTGAGTACAGTGTATTTTTGTAATTTTTTTTTTTTTTTTTACCATCCCTCAGGTCTGCCTGGATGCCTTCACATACACATACAACTTCATGTTATTTTTCTGTATTGTATAACAAACAAACCCTAATGGTAAATACGTGTCAAACTTAAAAAAACAAGGGAGGCACACGCGGAGTCTAACATACAACTACGAGCTTTGTTTTCTCTTTCCTCCTTACCTTTGTGCCAAGGATTGATCTCGGGCCCTCGGGCTTTTGCGGCGAGCACCTTTATCTGCTGGCTACCTTGCACGACCCAAGCTAGAACTTCTAGCAACAGCAGCAGCAAATCTCTCTAAGGCATTGTAAGGTTTCACCATTCATTCGGCATTACGGCACAGGGACCCGCTGCTAATAAATCTTGGTGTGTCAGTCGGCGTAGTAACTGACTGACGGATACCCAGACATAAATGGAGGTACTGAAACGCTACCTATTCCCCATACGTACACGGTGATGCTAATAGTGACCCAGAGGAGTCTGTGTTTCAAAACAGACAGAGCGATGGCAACGTCCACATCCTAAGTTTGTCTTGGGTCTGCGCTGGTCCTGAAACAGAAGGCAAGCCTGTAAGAGAGAAGGTCAAAAATTATGTGAAACACTAAAAGATTTTCTGTCATGAGCGTTGGGAGCACAACAGCACTGATTGTCTGTCTGTGATTAACACTTCATTTCCTCCTCTGAGGTGGATCCCGTCCTAGTGAATAAATTATTTACTTTAATCTCACCTGCGTGGATGCATCATCGTGATTTCCACACTGTGCTTTAATTGTTTCTTGTGGCTGCAGATATAAAGGGCAACGGACTGTGGAGAGCATTCTTGGCGTTAAACTTGCGGTATTGCCAGCTCAAGAATGGATAGAAAGCATGGAAAATACGTAGTGAACGTGGAACTCTCTGGGAAACAGCTGGTGAGTATTGCCTGTCCGTTTTGATATTTGCCTACACTAAAATCTCGCGGTTTTAGTGTTGCTAGCCTGGCATCTCTTTGCTATTTATTACTTAGTCAAAATCTTATCTCTGTAGCTCTCTCCAAAATGAAATCATCCTGCCCCCTCCTTCTTCAGTGATGTATATTTTAAAAGTTCGTATCAGGCATTATTTTAAGTATTTGTAGTTATAAAGTGGTAAGAATGTCTTGATGCCTTATTACCATACATAAATAATAAAATAAAAGTTATTGTTTAGAAATTATTATAATATATAATAATAACATATTATAAATAAAAATGCTCACTATCATCTGAACAGAAAGCCTCAATGGTGTCATTTGTAAACATACTTTTGCAATGTGATCCTTTGAGGTTTATGTTTGGTCTGTAAGTCTCTCAAACTGCAAACAATCAACCACATAAACCTTTCAGAGAAAAATTGTACGTAGTCATTGAGCCACTAGGAACTGTTACAAAAAGTGGAAAAAGGGGCTGGAGAGATGGCTCAATGGTTAAGAGTGCTGTCTGCTCTTCCAAAGGACCCAGGTTCAATTCCCAGCACCCACATGGCAGCTTACAACTGTCTGTAACACCAATTCCAAGGAATCTGACACCTTCACACTAATGCACATAAAATAAAAATTAATTATAAAAAAAGTGGAAAAAATATGTAATTTTCATTAAATATTTATAAAACAGACTACTCATGACAAGACCTCCATGATAACTTAGGTAAGGTATTTCTATAAGTATGAAATTTAAAAATTAAATATAACGGCTCAATGTTTAATGAAGAAAACTAAAGATTATCTACTAGGTACATTTGAGAAAGTTTGAGCTTACTTATTAACAGATGCTTATATCCCTGAATTCCGGAAAACCAGATATGAATGATGCATATTATTGGTAAAGAAATCTAAATATAGCTGTTTCATGTAAATAACATTATCTACCTTTAAATCTTTTTATCCCAAGAACTTACCCCTTAGTGTATGATATCCCCAAATGCTTGTATGCATGTTTATATATGTGCCAAATAACTAAGTAATTTTGGTATTAGAAAATGAAGAATATGTTTTGAAAATTAAAATGACAAGTTAAATTTTCCTGTCTAAAGATTAAGTGAAAAGAGTGTGAAGAAATGTTGCCATGGCCATGAGAAGCTGTGGCAATCACCCTGCATGAAACATCTATGAGATAAATCAGAGAAGCACTGGTCTTCAGTCAGTGTTCAAGTGTTAACAAATAAGCAAACAAACAACAAAAAACCTCCTGCGAGACTTTTAATTCATGCACACACAAAACAGATTTTTTTTTTCTTTTTCAAGACATCCAAATGTTTTGATGTGAAAACAATGGCTCCTAACTGTGCATCTGTCATCTTGATGGTTTCTGTAGGTGAGAACACATTTTAAGGTGTTTATAAATATTATTTTACATTCTTCTTTTAAGGTGTATCTGGACACTGGCTGTTTCAGTTTACTGTAGATCAGTTAAGTAATGACCTCAATAATTTTTCTTTTAAGGTGAAATTTAAGTGCTATAACTTAAAAGTTGCTTCCAGATTAAAAAAAAAAATAAAGAAGGTAAATCTTGCTATGTTATTTTCAATTGGGAGTATAGGCCTTAAGTCTGTCCTTACAGTATGAGATGCCTACACTTATGGGTTGTGCATGTCAGTTGCCTCTGGTTGTTATTAGTTAATGAGAATTATATGATTAAGTATTAGCCATATTCATTAGCAATTCCAATTTTGTAGGTATCACCCATACTAAGGCCAGAGCAACTTAACTCAGTAAAACAGCCACCCTGGCAGCAATGTTTCCACAAAGTTGAGTCCAGGTTAGAGGCGGATCGCTGTAGTGTGGACTCATTCATCACCTTCTTTGAAAGGGCCAGAAAATTCTGAGAAAGAAAAGAGCCCATTGAATCAATTTCACTTTGCCTACAATGTGTTTTAAATTGTTCGAGTTTGTCAGCCATGGCCAGAGTGAATGAAACCAATGCAACAGAATCAGGTGAGTTTGGTCAAATACACGCCCTCCTCAAATGTACCCTACTGAATAGCGAGTGGGATTTTCTTTGATTTTCATCATTAAACACAAAGCTGTTGTCTCTAGTTCTTTGATTTTGATATTTACAGAAAAACTCATGGCTTTCTTAGTTTTTGTACAAGGACTATTCTATTTTATCAATATTTAGTGAAAATTCTACTTCTTGTACTTTTAGTAATAGTTTTTAAAGGGTAAACAGCTGTATAATATCTAATCTGAAAGTTTTTATTCATTTGTTTGTAGTTTGAAAGTTTTAATGGAGCTTTTAAGTTTGTTGAGCATGAATTTAGTAATAGACGATTAAGTCAATGTAATATAAAACAATTACTAGTGTTATCTGTAGTAATAAGGTCATTAATGCCACAATAATGGCAGGTGACACTGAGCAAATTTAAGTGCTATAACTTAAATTTGAATGCTAGACATTCAATTCATTCATTGCTTTTTATTGTTTCATTCAATCACCCTAATAAACTTATGGCTGGTGATTATTGAAGTAGAGTGAATTCAGGCAACAATACCTTTGATTACTAGTGAGAAAGTAAATACAGTTTCCTATGAGATGAAGAGTCTCAGATGACTCATATTATGAATTTCTGTATTTGTGTGTGTGTGTTATATGGAGCCTACAATAGTATACCGGTACATATGTCCATATGTGTGCATGCAGAGGCCAGAGCAGGACATCGATCATCTTCCTCTATTTCTCTCCAATTAATTATCTTGAGACAGGTTCTTCACCCATTGGGAAGCTCACTAGTTTGGTGAGACTGGCTAGCCAATGAGCTCTTCTCTGCATCCCAAAATGACCATGTCCAACCTTTTCTGTGGATGCTTGGGATTTAGACTTATGTCCTCTTGTAGGATATATATATACTATATTTATATATAAAGTCTTATTCTTTAGCTCGGGCTGCTTTCAGATTCATTATAATCCTCCAGGCTCAGCTTCTCAAATTCTACGATTATAGTTTCTACTGTGTTTTTGAGATGCAACCAAAACTTTTGCCCAACACCCATGGACCTACTGTATTCTCACTTTCACTTTGCCTTCTTCTCTCCCTCTTCATTCCACATTTTAAGTAAATGCACTGCCCTCAGGCTTTTCCCACAAACTCATTCATCTTAAATTCTCACCTGTCCCTTCTTTCCAACATTTTACAATTATAGTAACTGTTAATTATCTTCAAATCCTCTTTGTCTCCCTGTTAGCAAATACATTTCTTGAGAATGAAAATTCTGTTGTAAAGATTTTTTTCCTTTACATATCTAAGGGGCACAGAGAAAATACATATCATAAACAAACTGTTTGGTCCTGACATGGAGTTACAATTTCACCAGACATAATTTGGTATGAATTGTGTGAAGGAGTTACTCTGAAAATTTTTCATGATTAAAGAGTAATGACACCATATATAATGTATTAGCATATCACAATGATAGACTGTTAATAGTCTGTTACAGTGGGAGGGACAGTTCCTTTAACAATGTAAGTTCTGGGTTCAAGTGGTTGCTATTATGTAATTATAACAAATCACTCAGTTCCTTGGCTTCAGTATTCTTATTTCAAAAGGACCTGTGCAGGCCATAGCTGGTCAGCTACGAAAGAGCATAGATGTTCTGCCTGACACAGCAGTTTGCAACATGAACATATTTAATGTTTGCGTACTATGATGAGGGAGGTGGGATGATACACAATCCTCCAAAACAGTTTAGACGTAGTCAGTGATTGCCTACCCAGGTTGTTTAGTCTCAGAGTTCACACATCATTTGTTTTAAACTTAATTTTATGTATTTATTTATTATAATTTACTTTGTATCCCCGCTGCAGCCCTCTCCCTTGTCTCCTCCCAGTCCCACTGACCTCCTTCTTCTCCCCCTATGCCCTTTCCCTAGTCCCCTGATAGGGGAGGACCTCCTCTCCTTCCAGGAGTGTTTAAATTTAGAATTTCAGATGTTGGGGTTTGCTCACTTGTGTTTCATCTCTGTAGCCACGCACATGTACAAATGACCAAGAAGCTCAGCAGCCTGCGTGCTGGTGTCCACCTTCAAATGATGGAACTGCAAATGTCTCCTCCAACTTGTCTGGGGTCTAGGTGAGCCCAGGAATCCTTGCACACTCCGAATGCCAATACCCAGAGCCATGCAGCACACAGGTAATGTCTGCTGTAGTCACTTGCTTCCGTTTTGGGATGTGTTGCACAAAGATGTGCACTGAGTCTGTTCTCTCCTAGGCAATAGAGTTAGGAAATTGTCTACATTCACCTTTGCTGTGACTTGACAAGTCCCTGTGGAGCAATACTCTAAAAGAATACCATTTGATCATCTCGTTCCACAGATCTTATGTTCTAGCCCTGAACTCAAATGGTCACTATAGAAAAAAAAAAAAACTAAATGAAAAAAAAAAACAAAGAAAAATACATTAATTAAAGAAAAACACATTATGAAGTATAAACATTTGCTCCAAATATATGGTGGTGGAGTATCTAAAGAAACAAATGTGTCAGAATACTGTTTAATTTCTATTTAGGCTTTGATAGGAAAACTGTCCTTATGTTAGCTTTCATGGTTCCAACTCTATGGACGATTGCTTGCTTTTCTTACAATGTGTTCTTATGCAGCTCTGAAAGTCTATTCAGTCTATTCAGATCTCGGAATTCTGATCTTGGTGCAAGTGAGTTTTACCTAAAATCCTAAGTGTTCTTTTGAGCATCCCCGCTACCTTTGGAAATAGACTCTGGTTTGGTTCTTGACTCCATGTTCAATCAGCTGATTTGCTTTTACTTCATAATTATGTCCCTAAGTACTCAGCCTGGAGCAAGCAGCCCTTGACTATAATTAACTGATATGTTTTGGCAGTTCTCCAGGTTCCCCAGTTTCTGAAGTCTCTCCTCTTAGAGGATCAGAACATAGACTTTGAGTCTAATTTCTTGATTGTGGGTAAATATGTCATTCAACCATTTATGTTATGTCGCGGGCAGTGTGAAATAAAGCATACAGTTCAATAGATTATATTTTTCTTGTGCTAGTTAAGTGCACCATGTGAATCTTAGAATTGAAAGAGTTCTTAGTAATTTCTAGAATTTTAATTCCTGTTGCACAGCTGTGGCTATGTAAGACATACCCATAGAGGACATTAAGCTTAGATCAATAAAGTCAAAACTCAATACCAGAGCTCATGTAAAAAAAAAAAAAAAAAAGTGAATTTGATGTGCAGTCAGTAAGGACAGTGAGTGACCTAAGCCTCCCTAAGACCACTGAAGGCCAAGGAAAGTGAGGACATTTTAAGGAAGTCATCATCTTTGCAGGAGCAGGCAAAACACACGAAGAGCCTTTTCATTGTCTGGTAACCTGTGGTGAATTTCACTGAAGGAGTCTTTGTAAATTTGTGTAAGGGCGTGCTCCGGAGCCCTGCAAGATGCAGAGCTTCTCCGTCACTTCTGCTCTCAGGACCTTAAAGCTTCAGTCCTGTTGCTTTTCTCAGGGTGAAGGGGCTTTTGGTTGCCCTGTGATAGCTCTTGTCTTGCTCCAAGCATTTTGCTGATACCTCCTTTTTTTTTTTTTTTTAGAAAACATCACAATTTACATCTTGAATTGAATCTTTTCCCCATCTCTCTGGAAACGCAAGTTTTGGATTCTATTCCTTATGGGTCTCGTTCTGATCCAGGTGATAAGAAATAACTCTGAACTCCAGACTCATATTCATAATGCTATATTATACGCTTTAAGAACTTGTAATTTTACCCATTATTTCTAATCCATTCAAGATATTTTTAGTCAGATATTTCAAGACAAGGAGACTTGAAGATTAGAGAAAGTTGGGGGAGTATAAAGATTTAAGCATCCTAAAATGTAAAGAAATCTCTCTAATAAAAAAAGGGTTTTATTTCATACTATGCAATATGGCTTATATGAAAGTATTAATAACAAATATTTTAAAAAAACACTTTAGAATCAAGGACATAGCTCCCTTGTATTAATCCTATCAGCTAAAAGTCATTTACATCATAGTTCATGGATGGAAAAAAACAGAGACTGAAAGGAGTCCAGCAATGTGGCTAACCTAATGCAGATTCCAGAATAGGAGGTCAAACTTTATAGTTCATGTTTGTCCTTACAAACAATATAGGCATGCGATTAAGTTTATGATAAAGACAGAGAGTAAATGAGCAGGCGTCTGGCTTACGTTACTAGTGTCCATCACTATGAAAATCTCTTTCTAATGTTTTTATGAGAATTTCATATATGAATACTGTATTTGTATCATTCCACACCTCCTTCTCTCACTCCAGCTCCTTTTCATGTGCATGTGCGCGCGTGCACACACACACACACACACACACACACACACACACACCCCACTTCCTCTCATATACTTATATATTTATACACCTATCATAAATATATATCCAGAAATAACTGTACTCAGCAGGGAATATATATATATTTTAGAAGGGGGTTTGAAGAAACTCCCCAAACCATATAAGGTACTGTGAAGGGATTCTAAGTTATCTCCGTGAATGGTCCTTGGTTGGAGTAGCAGTCTCAGAAAAGACCCTTCGGGCCAGATATTTTGGTTCCGTTGCTCTCCTTGTGGAATTCCTGTCCCGTCCAGGTCTTTCTCTCTCCCCCTTCTTTCATAAGATTCCCTACACTCTGCCCAAGGTTTGGCTATGAGTCTCAGCATCAGCTTTGACACCCTGCTGGCCTCTGAAAAGGTGTTCTTAATGATACCTGAAGGAGAAACATGACATTCTCATCTGATAAACTTGCCTATGCCAATGTCCTAATTTACAATTAGGCTTGGTACAAGTTCATTGATGAAACAAAGCAGAGGCTCAAGTCATCCAAGGCCATTGCTCAAGCTCAAGGCAAAGAGGAAGGAAGTTAGGACTAAGGGAGGTCAGCAGAGATAGAAATGTGATAGAAAAGTATGAAATGCTGAGATAGAGTAGAGTGAGGAGGGCTTATCAATATGTTGGTACACTTCAGGGATAAACCCCTCATTCTACCTAGTGGTCCTGAATAGATATCTGGTAAGAGCGACTCTTGTTGACATGGAGAAGCTAGTCAGGAAATATTTTATTATGTGTGAACTGGAGGCATATATGAGACAGCAGAGGAGTGATATCTGTTTTTCTCTGAAGGTTGGAGGATAGGCCTGGACTGGAGATCACCTTTAGAGTCATCCGGATCTGGGTGGTAAACCATGAGAATAATGATTGAAGGATGCAAGGTTGGCCTTTATTGCCCACCACTTGGCTTGGAAATAAAAGATTTGGTGAAGTATAGCCTCCTTCATTTCATACTGCACACAGAGTAACTGCTGTCACACCAGGGGCAGATTGCAATGATTGTGAGAGAAATAAAAAACACACATGGGAAAAAGTTGCTGACTCCAAAGCAAGACCGAAAGAGATAAATCATGCGAGCATTAGCAATAAAGGCTGAGCATAAATAATGAGCCTTCAAAAGAAATTGCGAAGATTCTGGGGAATTAGGAAGAAATCAAAGAGACTGGAATATCACAGAAGCAAAAGAAATAGATGATTCCAAAAAAGAAGAAATGGTCTCCAGTGGCAATTTTTGCCAAAGGCTTAAATCAGAAGAGGGCTTGAACATGCCACTAGGATCTCAGTGTGTGACTGTCACTGATGACATCTTTAGTGGCATGCTGGGAACTGATGCCATTTTACATTGTGTTGAAGGAAGTGCAGATGAAGACATTGCATGTAGACAGATACAAGGAAATTTTCAGAGAAAGGGAGAAATGGCTTGGAGAATTTTGGCATCAAGGAGGATTTATGTATGTGTAAAATGGGAAGATTGGGACATTAGTAAGTGAGGAAAGTCATAAGTATTCCATCTGTAAGACAGAGAGGGTAACCAATACAGAAAGCTGCTGGAAAGGCTAGAGAGCATGGCATACAAAGCATAGGTCGGCACTCTCAGGGGCAGAGATGTTCTCATGCCAACAGCCAAGAATAATGGGGAGTTGGAGCTTTGTAGACCTTCATCAGGGGACGTTTGCAGAGCTTTCCTTTGGTGTTTTTAAGTTTTCCAATGCAGCAGGAAAAAAATTAACGTCATTGAATGGGAAGGAAAAGGGATGGTGCATGCATGAGGACTGATGGGCAGAGGTTACTGGCTGGAAGAGGCTTCTCTTTCCAGGTGCTTGGCTTTCCCACTAACAGAGCTTCTCCACACACAGCCCAGAGAAAGCAGTCATTGGTTTGTCACTAGGGGTTACGAGAAGAGCAAAGTGCAAGATACTCTTTTTGAAGTAATGTAGCAAAAGGTGGATAAGGGGGGATCTAAGTGAGATGTGGGCTAAGGAAGGAGAAGTGGTAGTCTAGCTCAAAGTTGTTCTGGAAGTACATAGCTGGCTGGAAAAACACAGTGATCAGAGAACAGAACTCTGGAAGACAGTTTGGGGAAATTTCTCATTTAATGTATTTTTTGTTCACTTAAAAAAGTATATAATGGAGGGAAGAAGAAACAACTAGAGCACAAAATTTTAGGATAGTGAAGCTACTCTTTACGATATTATGGTGTTATATCCCTCACTCTCCTACACACACACACACACACACACACACACACACACACACACACACAGCGACATTTGTATATATGCCTATGTATATATGTTTGTACACACATAAACTTTTAAAAATTCAAACATTAGAAAACTTCCGCTCTGAACCTTCAAGTAAAGTGTTGACTTTGGGTGCTAAATACACATCAATACATATTCATTAGTTGTAACAAAGCCTACTATGATAGAAGAAGCGGATAATTGGGGAATCTGGGCTCATTTGCGTGCAAAATGTATGCAGAGTGTATCTTCCCATCCATTTTGTTGTTGATCTAAAGCTGCCACAAATATATAGTCTGTTTCTTAAAAATTGAAAGAAAATAAAGAGATACTAAGAGGTTTGCCTTTTTCTAACATTAGGAAAAGGGTGAAATTACTTCCAACCTGAATATCACCAGTATTTTTACGTCTAAAGTTCAGATACTTAGTGATTCAAAAATTTTTAATGCAGTAAATTATAAGAAATACAAAAGAGGAGATAAATCACAAGCATTTTCCTTCATTACTTCCCCATTTGTTTATCTATTTTTCTATGTATCTATGTGTCTATGTATCTATCTATCTATCTATCTATCTATCTATCTATCTATCTATCTATCTATCTAATCGCTTTAGAGACTGATCCTAATCCCTCCCTCTTCTCCTCCCAGTCCCACCCTCACACCCTCTCTCCCTTCCCACCCCCTTCTTCTCTGAAAAGGGGCAGTCCCCAAGTGGTACCAACCCTCAGGGGCACGTAAAGTCCAGCAAGACTAAGGGCATCCTTCCCAGACAAGGCAGCCCAGTTATGGGAAAGGGATCCAGAGGCAGGCAACAGAGACAGAGAAACCCCTTATTCCCATTGTTAGGGGACCCACAAGATGACCAAGTTGCACATTTGCTACATATATGTGGGGGTCTAGGTCCAGCCCATGCTTGCTCTTTGGTTGGTGGTTCAGTCTCTGTGAGCCCCCATGGGCCCAGGTTACTTGACTCTGTAGGTCTTCTTGTGCTGTCATTAACCAGTCTGGATTCCTCACTCCTTCCTTCCAGTCTTCTACAAAACTTCCCAAGCTAGGTCTGTTGTTCGGCTGTGGGTCTATGCATCTGTTTGCATCAGCTGTTGGATGAAGCCTCTCAGAAGACAGTTAAGCTAGGCTCCTGTCTGCAAGTAGAGTATCATCAATAGTGTCAGGGGTTGGCTTTCTCTTATGGGGTTCGTATCAAGTTGAGCCAATGATTGGTTTGCTATTCCCTCAATTTCTGATCCACCTTTATCCCTACACTTGTTTACATAGGTGGCTGGAAATGGCTGTGGTGATGGGTCACTATGGAAAGCCTTCCTGGCTTCACTCTTAGCCTCTGTAATAACAACAGCGATTGGAGTTCTCATACTAAGCCTGGTGAATAGAAACAATTCCCCCATTGTCATCCAGGTCTCCTCAAACACTGAAGCCTCTACACTTGCACCTAGAACAACCTCTATTACGTCTCAAACCACAGGGTCTACAGCCACCTCAACATCCTCTGAAACTGTAGCCACAGCAGCCACCGTGACTTCTACTGAGCCAGCAAGGACATCTGCTTCAACCCAGCCAACACCCACTGCAACTAGCGCCACAACAACCATGGCCATGACTTCAACTCAACCTGTGACCACAACAGCCACCACCGCGACTTCATCTGTGCTGACAAGCATCACCGCCTCAACCCAGCCCACAACCTCTGCCGCAAACGTAAGTTCAACTCAGCCTGCAACCACGTCAGCAGCGGCATCAAGTGGAACCACACCCGCCGCCAGTGCTGCCGAAACTTCGGTCCCTGAATAACCTAGCAATGAACCGGTCATGACCTTTGCTGTAATTGGATCTCCATCTGGATCTCCTTAGTCACAATTGCAACAGCTGCTTGAATCAAGATGCCACTATCTTAATAAACCCTCCAACAGCAGAAGCTTCAATAGCGCCAGATGCCACTACAACTGAAACATAGCTGGCGGACAAAACAGTCATGATTTCCCCCGTCATTTTAATGGAACCTTTGTTCAACCGATTTGACAACCAATGCTACTTCCATTTAACCTACATGTGTAATTTCCGCTTTGCCTAAAATAAAAGTTCTCTTTATTCTCCTTCAGTAACTTATAATCTTCATTTGTTTATGGGAACCTGCCACAAACACTTTAAACTTAACAGAATTACTGTCAATCATCAAAATAATTCCTGTACATCAAGTACACTTTTAGTTACCGTTACTATCAATCATCTGGCAGTTACTTCCACACTGAGTTTTCTCCAAACATAAATTGCAGCTACTTCTTCCATCCCAGCTGAACTGAATATGTATCACTGACATTTCTGAAGCATGCCCACAACAAGGATGCAAATTAAAGAAGAGTAATTTGGACTCCTATTAATGCAACAATCATCCCAATTTTCACAAAAGAACATAGAATTTCTGAAAGTATAAACAATTTTAATATGACTGAGCTTTTAAGTTATAAGAATCTAAACTTAATTCTGTAGAATAATTTCATATAGGAAAGTGATCCAACTGATTCATTTAGGTAGGAGGTCATTAAGTTCCGACTAAAATCTAGCAAAGTTAGGTACTTAGATCTTAGGATGTTTTGCTTTAGCTCATAACACCACATTTCTCTTCATATATAAATTGCATGCATGAAATGTACATTTTATACAATGGAGATTTAAACAAGTTTATTTATAAAAATGTAAAAATTTAAATAATTGTTTTCCCTATGTTGAAATTCTCTGTTGCAAATATTTTCTAATAAAATTTTCATAAATTTAGACATCATAATCTCTGATTGTATAGCCTGAAGACTTGCATCATAAACTGTTGATCTTTGAAAAAAATATTGATATGGAGAAGACAAAAGTAATTATTAAACAACTATGGTATACAGACATTATTGTGAAAGCATTTTGGGTCTTTGGTTCAATTTCTATTTTTCACATTATTCTTTTACCCTAGGATAAATCTGTGATTCATCATTTTCTCCATTAACTTTTCTGTTTCAGTAAAGTGCTGAACTAGATAACTAGATAGTAGTTTCTAGGCTTTATAACATTTAATTAAGAATATTTAGTAATTTTTATCACCATTGAAATTATTCCAAAGTAGTTGTATTTTTACATTTGCTTAAGAAAGTTACTGACAAGCTATACTGTACACCTGTATGGAGGAGAATGATCGTTCAAGGAATATATGAGTAAAATATGCCATTCATCAGTTCTTTGTGTTGGGAAATATTCAAATCCTCTCTATTTGCTATTTTGAAATATACAATTAATTATTCTGAATAATTAGAAAACAATCAGTGTATACCACTCTGTCTTCAATCTATTTCATCTTTTCTCCAGCTCTGGGAACAATGATTCTTCCTCCTATATTTAGTAATCAAGTTTTTAGAGCCTATGTGTGAGAGCATGGGATTTCTCTTTTTCTATGCTTGACTTCTTTCACATGATTTAACAATTTCCAGTTCCAAACATGGTGCTTCACAGGACAGAATTTCATTATCTATATGGTTAAATATATTCACTATGTACAGATTTCACAATTTCTTCTTCCATCCATCCATCCACCCACCCATCCATCCATCATCCATCCATTATGCATAGATGCTTTGTTTTCACTTCTTGTCTGTTGTGGATAGTGCTGTAATTGACATGGATAAGTTCATGACCCCTCAACTCGCTTTAATTCTTTTTGATAAATACTCAGTGATGGGGCTGTTGGATCATTGTTGTTTTTCTATTTTTTTTTAAAGAATACAATTTCCCATAATGTCTGTGTTAATTTTTATTTCCATTAATTTTGTATGAAAAATTACCCTTTTCTTCCTTTTCTCTGCCCCATTTTTCTTAATAATAGGCATTCTAACTGGGATGAGATAATACCTTTGTGGTGAAAGAACACAATTTCGACAATTGAGATTTACGTTATAATGGGAGATGTAGTAGATGTCAAAGAGATGAAAATGAGCAAGTACTGGGTGTGAGGAGAGGAGACCATAGCTCACACCTCCTTTATCTCAGTCCTATTGATTGCTTTTTCATGCTGAATAATTCTTGAGAGCAGCTTTCAGATGTGGTGCAGCATGTCCACCAGCTTTTATGCCACATACTCATTAGGAATTGGCAGCACCTACCTCCTGTTATGATGGCCCAGAATACCTTAAACCGTTGCTAGAATGTTGCTAGCTTGATGAAATGGGTTGAGAATAGAGATATACAAACGTTTCCCTAAACATATACATATGAACTTTTATAATAACTATGGTCACCAACCAACATGAAAATAAAATAAAACATAGACATCTAGTTCCCCCACTTTTGTGGATCTAAACAGCATATTAAAATCTATTTTTTCTCTCTCTCTTCTCCTTTCTCTCTTTCTCTCTCTATGTGAGCACACATGTGGCGGTCAGAGAACAGCTCTATGGCGTTGGCTCTAGGACATGTTTACATGGGTTCAGGGAATCAATCTCCGGTTTCCAGGCTTTCAAGGTAAGCACATTTTACCCACTGAGCCATCCTGCACACCCTGAAACAGAAGACTTCACAGGGAGGTTGTGCAAGCTGAAGGGGGAAGGTCTTCTCCAATGCTCTGCTGCTGGCTTTACTGCTCTTTCTTTTAAAGAATGGTTTCCACTGACTGTCATTAATAAGCTTATTATTGCAGGAATGAGTTCCATGCCTGCCGTTCAAAGCCCTGTGTTCTTTGCAATCGTAGGATCTTAGCTGAATGGAAAACGAAAAGGATTAGAGCTGAATGGAAAACGAAAAGGATTAGAGTCAACGAGCTCTGAAGATCTTGCAGCCTCACTTTAGGGACCCACCAAATGGGGTGAGGGGTGGAACAAGTTAACACTTGTACTCCAGGAGCTCCTCAGGAGCGGACGTCTCGCTTGGACATGTCAGGTGCCTGGAGGTTGGCAAAGCCATTCCTGAAGATGACATCTTCATCACTTTTGATATTAAGTGCATGCAGACGTCATGAAATGAGTTATACATGGCCGCCTTCTTCCTTGTTAATGCCACTTGGCCTGGGATACTTTTCTGGCTTTAGTGGTCAGGACATGGACAATTTGCGAGAGTATCGGCCAGTAATTGTGTAGAATAGCTCTCAGTTCCTTTTATTTTTGCTTTAAATCTGGTATTACGAGCTTTGAGAATAACGACAGCTTTGAGCCAGAGAAACAAGGCTCCATCTGACCATGTCACACTGGATGCCACGCCTGAGGTACATACTTCTCCACACAAAGTCACCGGTTTTCTTGAACTCAATCGTTTGGTAAAGCAGATGTTTGTGAGAGTCTAAGTTGTCAAGTGCTCTTATTTTTCTTTTTCTGTCTTACCTGGAGTCAGGAGGACAGCTCAGTCTCAGAGCTAGTAGCACCATGTAAACAGCGCCTTCGCCGTCTTCTCATTAGGCACACGCACTGTCCACTACCTGTTGTGATCGCCAAAAGCCCCTCCAAATATGGCAAATGGTGGCAGCTGTATTAAATAGGTTGATAAATTACACCCTTAATCTGGACAAGAATTTAGCCGAGATACTGTTTTTTCCTTCGTGGAAAGGAACAAAATGCTTCTGTAATCTGAAGAAATTCTTTTTGCTGGAAATTCATACAATATGTTCTGAGGGCTGTTTCCCCTCCCACATCTCCTCTCAGATTCTCCCCACTTCCCCTCCCTGCAACTTCGTGTCTTCTTTTTCTTAAAAAACAAACAGGCAAATAACAAAGCAAACAAACCAGGATTACAGAAAAGGAAAAAAAATGTAGAAAAAGCACAAAACACACACATACACTTACACACAGATACACACTCTCATAGACACTAAAATAAATAAAAACACAAAATCAAAACACATAATACATAAGCAAAGGGCCATTAAGATAAACATATGCCCAAACTAAGCAATATGAGATGAAAAGAGTGTACAAAAACACCATTGCCTTTGTTTTGTGTTGCCTGTTGCTTATGTACCTAGTGAGACTCCACTGGAAAGAACTGATTTTCCTATTTCAAGCGGATGCCATTCAGAGACAGCTTCTTGGTTAGGGATGGGAGTTAATGTCCGCTTCTCTCTCGAGCACTGGGACTCCTTCTAGCTTGAACTTGTTTAAGTCCCTTGCATGAGGCCACAATCTCATGAGTTTATATATGCAACAGTCCTGCTGTTCCTGATCCCCTAGGAGAGGGTAGAGATCAATTCCAGTTAGTACTGATTGTTCTAAAGCTTCTCACTCTTTGTCCTGTTGCTCAGTTGTGAGTCTCTGTATTAGCTCCCATCTACTCCAAGAGGAAGCTGTTCTGGTGATGGCTGAGTGAGAGGCTGATGTATGTGTGAAGCAGAATGTCACCAGGAGTCATTTTATGGATGTATTTTACTAAAGGAATTCTTACCTCCAAAATTTTGTAATTAAGTGGTATAAACTATGGGTTTAACCTACATTTCCAGTAGAACCTAAAGTTCGCCTCCATTTGATGAAAGAAAATTATTCTTTTGCAGAAAGAATAAATGTAGAAGAAAACTAGAAAATATTTCATAATCCTACAGAAAGGGATGTGTCATGAACTGACACAGAAACTATTAGGTGAGAGGCTACAAAGAAGAGAGTGCATTTGGAACTAAAGAAACAAATGTGCATTCATAGCCATAAGATTGCACAGGTTAACTTCTCTACACAATTTTCCTCACGCTTACTTTTTTCCTGTTCATAATCTTCTGAAAATCCCAAGCAAGATTCTGCTTAAGAGCCCAT